TATATATTATACTTTTACATATATATGTGTGTGTATATATTCTGAGACAAGAAAGCTGCCCATTTCTTCTCAAAGGAAGATAAAGGCATAGACACCTGTGATATAAACTCAGATCAGTTAAGGAACATCATATGCAATAGTCCTGTAACCATGACACTTGATCAAGCAAAGCTTCAATATTCATTGTTCATGAGTAAATGGGGAATTAGTAAAATAGAGGTAATACTAACAGCATGAGTTACTGTGTGAGTACAGGGTTGATTATGCGCATTGTATAACACCCTAATTCCCTGAATCCAGATACGTATTTTGCAGGATAATTCGGTTCCAAAATTTAATCTTTCATTTCAGTGGAAAAAAACCTGTATGTGTCTCCTGACTCCAGGGCGCAAAACTGCACCTTCCTGATGACGGGGACGGACAAGAAACTGAGATGCCTTTTTCCACAAGTTCAAAGTAATTTCTGTTTTGCAAAAGCAGGGAAAGGAACGACTGCGGATCTGTAACTATTTCTCTCTCCTCCAATAGCATTAATTGCTCTATTAAGGCAAACCACAAAGACCCCCACTTCTTCCCAAAAGGTAAGAACCTCAGTACTGCCCACCAGCCAGCTGTATCTTCTATCTTCCAAACTATTTCACCACGACTTCCTCTAGGTATAAACTAGGGACACGTTTAGCTATTAAAGTCTTTTGAAAATGTTCGGTTTTATTCTTTGGTTTTCTTAGAGTTGTCACAGATTTTAAGATAGCATTGCACTAGGAAAACAGAAGTTTGCTGCAGATTTTAAGGCCAACTTAAATATAAACTAGACTGGGTAGAAGTGGGTTACAATAGATATTCTGATCTAAAAAGAAAAACATTTAATCACAGATGAAAACAAGAATATGGTTACCTCTCTAACAAAGTGCAGAAACAGCGAAACATTTATTTTTCCATTTATTGGCACTTATTTGAAAAATAGCATAAATAGTCAACAGAAAAGAGACAAGTTGACCTACATACAACTATTAAAACCCTCTACTGATGCATCTTTTAAAAAAAGACTGGAAGAGACACCAGGAGGTTCATTCTTAAGAAATAAGCAAGATTTAAAAAAAAAAAAAAAGTCTTGCCCTCACCACAGAAGAGTGAACGCACAGCAACTCTTTGGCACACACCTGAAATTGCGAAACAAAACTATGCCATATTAGAGAGCAAACAGATATTAAACACAAGCTTGTCCATCTGCCACAGGGATGAAGGGCAGTCTGAATTTAAAAAGGAACTGCAATTAGGAAGTTGACTATTACAATAATTTAAGAGGAATGAAATCAGAAGTAAACTATGTCATATCTTACTTGAACCAAGTAAAACTATTAAAAACATTCTATTTTCTTTCTACAGTAAGGACATATGGAAACTGGTCATTGGTCCTCAGGTCACCAGGTCTTTGCACTCGAAGCTGTCCATTTCTAATTTTGATGGCTGCTGTCAATCAAAGCTTCACCCATCTTTCATAGCACAGTTCAGAGTGGGATTTTCTCCTACTTGAGGAAGTTTCCATACTTTTCTCACTTTATTACACATTACAAAGATTTAGTGTTTAAAAAGAAAATATTTTGCTTCATTATTAACCTCTCTGGAGAGAAGGCTTGAAACCACGTAGTACAGATGCACACACATGTACAAATGGGGACCCAGCTGGAGAAGTTCAATTGTGTAACAGGAGTCAACAACCAAAATGAGGTTGCCCCTGGAAAATCTGAAACAGCTGTCTATGGTGAGGCATGCAGATTTTTCCTCCTGTTTGGGGAATTTCAGAGTTGAGATCAGGATGCCTCAACCCACTGACTTTTCAAATACAGTACAAGAATCCTGAAACATCTCAGATTACCAAATTCTAGGCTTCAATCAGCAGCTGAGGTTTTCAACAGCAGAAATAACTTGATGCCATTGTTTGAGGAAGTGACATCAGGAGATTAAACACAGATTAAATATGTTTGATCTCCTCAGCCTGTAAAAGGGCATTCAAGATTCCTCAATGTATTTGTCCAACAAAAGTCATATATGAGGACGAATACTGTCTGTTAAAATAATGCACTTCTGAAGTACTAAATACTAAAACCTCAGGATTTAATGTTTTGTTCCAAACATTATTACTATTTTTCCCTATTAAAAGTCCTTTAACAGAGCATCTAGCACTCTAATATATCATATAAATGGGAAAGAAAATAATACAAAACCCCAGAAGAATGTTCCACACACAATTTGGATTTAGTCACATCAGCAGTCATGATCGTGAATAAAATCCAACATATAAATTTGACAATTGACCAACTTGTCCTTTTGACATCTATTAGAACACAGAATTGATTAACAGCCAATCATAATAAAAAACAAGAATCAATTCCCCCCCCAACATTCCACCTTTCATATGAAGAACAAAAAATATAAATACCTAACACTCGGGGAATAAAAACAAATTAGTAAGCTGCTTCATTGGTTTCAGACTGAGGACAAATGTGAAAGTTATCTGTTACTACATAAGCACAACTTTATATTAGTGAGGACACTGCCGGTTGGCTGTTGGAAAGCCAAGTCTTCCACAAACAGAATGTACATACAGTATTTGTAACTTATGCCAACAAGACGATATCCATTGTAAATCAACAGCTTGCTTACTGATGTTAGCATCAAATATGTTTGCAATTCAAATGCTTACTGTATTTTAGTAAATGTCATACAAATCACTAGAAACGTGAATTCCTCCTCAAGGAACTATTCCGGAAGTTTTCTAGAAATAATGACATTTCTGGAAGTTCCTATGAGGAACAGAATCAGTTACACACAGGAGAAAGTCTTATTGATATCCAGCCTGTTTCTCGGTGTCCATTAGCAGACTTCTGCTTCTCAATTAATAGGTAACTTAGCCGTAAGATCTACTGGTAAAAAAGGAGATCTGGAGTCAGAAAGTGAGACTGGAGAGTCTGTGTTGGTGCCGACTTCAGCTGGTGAGTCACAGGAAGAGCCTGCACTGCTTCTGTTGTCATCAAGAGCATGTGATGACAGACTGAAAACAGAGTAACATCAAGATATGAGAAATGAGGTACTCCTCCTGGTAAGTTTCAAATTCTAGCTTCCATTCATTATAAAGCCATTTTAAAAACAAATTACATCTTTGAAGGGACAGTAAGCCCTATGATTTGAAATAAATCTGCAACTACACACCTTGCAGTCACTTCCAAACAGACAGATAACACTCTGCCAATTTCCTCCTTCAGCTTACCCAGAAATGGCGTACAGATTAGAAGCATCAAGCTGAGCAATTCATTGCAAGCTTTACCCTATCTCCTACAAGGTCCTGGGCTAGCATATATCCAGAGGCCTCTTTTATCAGGAGAGCCGATGGTAAACTACACATACTTCAGTTGTATCATTCACTACATATTTCACAGGACAAAATTATAACTATAGGTGCATCTATCATCAGTGATAGCATCAAAGTCGTTTTTAAAATTACCATCTCCTAAACCAAGATCCAGCAACTGAACCTGCACTGCTATGCCTACTATGAATAGGGTGTGCAAAAAAGGTACGTTTTTAAAGTACCTTTAAACCATCTATTTTATTATTGCCACTGCAATGGGCTCAAAGCTTGTTCACAGCTATGTACATTAGCTGAAAGGCAAAAAGGATAAATGTACTGTGAATAACCCTGTCTTGATAGTTGTGTGGGCACACCCTATGTATTATTAACCTCTTGACTAAAATACTACATCAAAATCCCTTGCTATTTCAAATCGTTATGATTTTTTACGTAGTACTTTTTATCTCCTCCCAGCAGGGAGGGTCAGACAGACTAATTTTCCTATGTGACTAAGAGCAAGGAAAAAAAAACAGAGAAGGAAAATATCCAATCCGCCCAACAAGCATCAGCATTCATATTTGATTGCAACTTGAAACTAGACTCCAAAAATTGCGAGCCGTGAGATGCCTTTTCCTAAAGATGCTCAACTCCCATATATGTGAAGCATGCTAACAGCCAGTCCTAGAAATTGTAAAATTGTAGTGAATATTACTGCCTGTTTACTGTGATAATTTCAGTGCTTCAAAATTACGGGATGTCTGTATTAATAAAAAAACCCCCCAACTTCAAGCATGATCAAGATGAAAAAAAACTTGTAGTGCTTCTGATGAAATCGACACAATAAATAGCACAGCATTTACCATCCCCCAAGGTCTGCCTGATGTGAAACTTCAGGGATAAGCATGTTGGTAGATCCTTGGAATAATCTTTTTGGATGATCTTCTATCTCTGTTACACCTTTGGTAAGAGATAAGGAGTGATAAAAAATTACTACTCATTTAAACTAAAATCTACTTTCAATGTACTTCTACAGAGCAAACAGAATAGAGGTTCAAACTTACTACAATCTATTGAGTGTTATTTTATATGTAAAAAGTAGAAGTTCAATGCTGAAATTTTAAAGACGGTTTATTTCTTGGAAACGTTCTAGTCCAAGCTTCAGGAAAGTTTAGTGAGTTATGAACTGAGGTTTAGGTATCAGATATTTATTCTTCAGTAGCAGAGAATAATTTTTTTGTTCCAGTTTATTCAGCTATCAGTTCACTCACTAGCTCCGTCGAAGTAGAGAAGCTGAGAATAAGGAAAGCTTCTCTTCCTCTTGCAATCAATACAAACAGGGTCCAGGATTATCACTAAACTTATATATTAACTTTGATTTCCAAATACACTAGAAGAAGGGAGGATGGATACATGCTTAAATAGGCTACAACAGAACTCAGATAAAGTATTTTAAAACCTGTCTCAGAGCCAGAAGTGTCCTGTTAAAAAGGTGAAGCATGAAGATATAGTTAAAAACAGTTGCAATAAAATAACCAGAAGTTAAACTTGAAGAAAAATGTAGGAAGATAGAGAAACATTTCCCAGTAAAGCAGTAAGGTGTTTACCAGGTCTCTGGATCAGTTTTTAGTTTTTACTGTAGATTCAAAATCATCAGAAGGATTATTTTAAATCTACAGTACCTCTGCCCTTCAGCTAGCCAGGACTTTCAAAATTTTCTGTTTGTGAAGTTAAATATACCAATAGTTGTAGTTCTTGTTTTGTTAAGCAGGTTACATTAGTTTCTTATCAGATCTATATGACTACAGCGATGGAGAGGCATTAGAACAGAACAACTGTTAGTTTTACTGAATAGTAAAAACTAATTTATCAATTTGTCTCTTTTATCCCTACAAATAGTTCCATTTATTTGGTCATCTGTAATATCGTCTATTTCTAGTCACTCTTTGAAATATCAGCCAATTGAACAGAGTTATGAAGAAAGCTATATGGATTATTATAAAATCAACAAGTTGACTTCTTATATTAGCCAAAACCAAATACTGTACCTTTCCTTTTTATTGACCCAAGAACACTTGGTCGAATGCAGTTAATTGGACTCTGGCTTCTCCTGCTAAAAGAAGGCATATGCTATACTGACATCACCATTAACAAAGGAAGCCTGAAAACATGTAAAGAATCAAAAGATAATTCAGGTAACAAACTACTAAGCCGAAAACACTAAGAAAATAGGCATTAAGACAGCTTATCCAAACTAAGTCCTTTTTCTTTATTTTTCTGAAGAAAGACCAGGAAGCACAGACCTTACCAGAAAAAGTTTAATCACATTATTTCACAGCTGGGGCAGTCTAAAAGCTCACACCTAGGCACTGATGTCTCAGTTGACAGGTAGTACTTTGCTGAACTGTTAGGGTCTAATAAAATGTAATTGTACGCCCACATCACTCAAAACAACATCCAATGCAACTAAAACCAGTATCAGTAACAAACCCTAAATCTGTTGGGTTCTTTTCCCCCTTAGAATTCAATTCAATTGCTTAAGATCTGATTAAGAGCAATATAGAGACTACACTGAGAAGACAAATGCCAAAATGCAGCCCACTTTCCCAATGTTATGACATGAGGATTTTAACAAATATTTTAGAGCACTGTAAATCCAAAGTTTACATGAATATATAAAGTTGTATTCGTGATCAGAAATAAATTATGTATGTAACAAATTCTGGTATTTCAAAAGCCTACCGTGAACAAGCTATGCCAATTTTCTATTATTGATATGATCTGGTACTTGCCTTGAAAATCGCCTTGTTGGACTTGGGCTAGGACTGGGAGGTAATCCACTGCTACTCACCAAACTTTGCAAAGATGGTGAGAAACATTGCTGAGAGTAAAACAGTTTGTGTTATTTACGTATAAACACTGTATCACACTTATATGGTAACAACTGATCCTTACTGCAGGTAAATAAGCAACCAGTTAATATGGCTGGGTATACCGAGATACCACTTTTTGTTACTGAGAAAAGAAAATTAAGAAAGAGTTGGATAGATTGCATTTTCACGCAGAATACATACAAGTTAACAAGGATTTATTTCAGTCTGGTTAAACAGACTATGGTTCATAAAATAAGAATGTATGCCACTTCCTCTTATTCCAAGAGGAAAGCAAATAAAGAATAAGGTTTATTAACCACAGATTAACAGTCGAACACTCCACAGAAATTCACATCCACAAGATGTGCAACTGCTAGCTGGTATTTTCTGGTTTGGGGTTTTGGGTTTCCTTTGTTTACTTTCTAGTTTCTTGTTTGCAGCTGAGGCAGAAAGGAGCAGGTGGCTTAATCTTTTGCTACTAATTTGGTTGAATTTATTTAGCACTGCTCAAGATAAAATCATTATTACCACATTTTGCTCACCTTCCCTATTCCTCTGGTAGGTGAAGGAGCTGGAGAAACTGGGACAAAGTCTACTTGTTTTGGTGATGATGACTTTTCAAAATCATTGTCGCTCTGTAAATAGTACACATAATTAATCTGATGAGCAAGTACCTTAACATGAAAAGGACTGATTGGTGTGGAATTGAGTAAGATTCCAAAGTTATCCTCCATCATATTCATCATTTTTAGGTAGCCATTTATGAGCTAAGCTTAACAAAAAAAAAAACCACCCACACCCAAACCAAACAAAAAAAAGCCTTAAACATTACATGGTGAGTATCAGAACATGGAAGAAAATTTGAACAGGCAGACATCCATGCAATTTTCTTTTGACATACCAGCCCAAGGAACCCACATGTATCCTCGAACAACTGGTAATTCTATGCCTTGTTGGTGTGAAAAATTGCTGATCAAAAGCAGTGATATACTAACACCTTAATTGTAGGTCAAACTATAAAAGAAATTGTTGACATGAGAGAGTCTCTAGTGTCCTGATACTGATAATAGAAACACAAATTAAAGCATGAATGCATTACCAGGCTCAAGCTCTCCTCCCATGAGTGGCTCATCTGCATTGCTACTTGCACTTCTCTATAAAGAAGAAAAGAAATGTATTGTCCCGGGCCCACAGAAGACTGCATTAAGTATTCTAGTTTGCCTTAATGCTTACCTTTCACGTACTGTTTCTCTGTTCATCAAATTCATTCCTTCTTCCTAAAAGATTGGCAGATGAAAAATTAAGACAAAAAAAGCCCCTTTGCTACAGCAAATCAGAAAAGCTCATTTCATTTTACTTCAGTATGCGAAAAATTTAATTCAACTCGGTTAAGCAACAATAACCTTAAGCTTTCACTATATGAAAAGGAGTGAGGGGGAAAGAATGGAAGAGATGTAGCAAGACAGACCATCACATAAGAAGTGCTTATGGGAGTTGGTTGTTTCTCAAGCAGCTTGTTTATTTTCATTACTATCCAAGAGATAGTTACAAAACTGAACAATGATAATATGAACCAAAAATTCTGCACATGCTAGAGTATCTTTATGCAGTCTTGCATAATAATATTTCACAAAGTGGAAACTAGTACAGATAATCATCAAAAGCACGGCTGGATTCTTACCCTATTCTATGGATTAGTAACTAACTAGACACTTGTCAGCATTTCATTTGCAATACAGTGCACTGTGCACAATGAATTTGGGATTCAGTGGTTTTTTTACTAAAACATCCATAAAATATTATTAAAATGGATCATAGATGTAAAATTAAACTAAACAGTAACACCAAGTTGAAGTACAAACTTGACTCAATCTCCTCTTAGGTAGACACCATTCCTTAAAACTAACTGAATACTGTCCAGTCTGTTGAGTGAATGAGTAAATTCCTTAATTCAGTCCAGTTCAAGAATAAAAGTTCAACTAAACATCTTCACAATCTTCATCTTATGTAGAAAGAGTCTTACTAACATAGTTCAACTGTGTGATTATTTGCTAAGATTTGAAAGAGATCAGATGTAAATCACACAGGTTCCCATCTGTGCCAATAAGTATACAGGACATGGAATTTCAACTCGTGAATTTAATGATCAAACACAAATTAGGAAATGTCATGTACGGAACAAGTATGAATACAGAAGTATTTTCCAAAAAACTGAATTATCAAACTTTACTTCATGTAATATAGCAGAGCCACAATAATTCATTCCCTTGCTCTCATCACATTTACATACTAATCCTAAGCTTTTTTATGTTGATGAAAACAGCTCTACAACTGACCTGACTGCTTCAGAGTCTCTTTAAGCCAGTAAATTATTTACATAATGAAAGCAAGCAGTTATTTTCTTCAGCATTACTATGCATGCACCTTAAATATCGGAGATGGAAAGCAGAAGTGCCTTCCATAACGTCAGACGTCATACCCTGAAAATGCTGATGAAAGCATTAAATTGTTTTTTTAACTTTCGCCCTGTAAAAATCAAGCCTATTCACTGAAAACTAGCAAGCTAAAAAAAATTATTAAGAAAAAAAAAAATCAAGCATCTTCAAGCCAATTTTATAAACATTCTACTGTCAAAAAGTCGACATATAAAACGGAGGAGCCACAGGAGTTTGAGCTTGTTGATTTTAAAACTTGAGTCTTTAGACTGCGGTCTGTTGTCTGGTAGCAGTGCTATTTAAGCCTACTCAGATATTTGCCACACCCCCCCCTCCCTTCCTAAGCGTTTGCTCTTGTGCCCTTCCCCCTCCGCTCATGCTGTGACAGCACAAGTACAGTGATCTGGATAAGAAAATTATACAGATGAAAAATAGCCCAGCCAGAAGAGTCCAAACTATTTTTTAGCCAGAGTGCTTCCTTATCCAGTTCATTTTCTGGCTGCACAAAAGTCTTGTGCCAACGCAAGTTAAGGAACACTTCGTTATTGGCCCTGAATAGTTATGCTGGCACTACTGCCAAAAACTTGGTGAAACTTTACCCTAAGGGTTTACATTAAAGGTTTCCTTTCTAAAATGTCCATTTTAAGATTTCTGCTCAAATCTTCTTCTCACTATAAGATACATTCTACTTCATGAAATTTGGAGCTCTGCAGACAAGATACAGCTTTTACTTTTGAAAACACCTTGAAGTGATAGACTGCTGCAGACTCTGTACTACAGTTTCAAAGTAAAATCTACAGCCGTTTGAAGGACATTACATATTAACTGCAAAAAAACCAACCACCTACAAAAATAATAAAAAAAAATTAGAATCTGTGCTTACCTGTTTGATTTGATGAAGTCGGCTGCTAGGAATACGGATAGGAGATGATGGCACAAACTGCAAAACAAAGCCACATACAACTGAAACACACTTACAAACTACAGGAGAAGGGAGAGAAAGGTGCAGGAATGTTAGTAACCACTCTACAGTGGTAACCCAAACTAAAAAATTATGTTGTTTATTTTTTAAAAAAAAAACAGCATTCATAACATTCTCAGTATACACAAACTACATTAATTACTTGCAAGAACATGATAATATGTATTTCCATATTATACTGCTCTGTATCCTCACAGATGCTAATTGGCATCAGCCTGCCTTTCACTTCATTTCCAGTCAACTAGAATTCACAGCCTTCTCTACAGAATGAAGCTGCTTTTAACTAGCACACTGCCACCCTTAATATTTGCATAAATATTTTAACTTCAGTGATCCAGAATATTTTCATTTAAGTGATCTAGAAGGCTCCCCAATAGTTCATTTAAAAATACAAAGCCAAAACCACACACTGTGCAAAAAGGTTTCTGGATTGTTGTCTGCCTATAAACGAGTACTTTGACAGGTGAAAAAAAATCAGCTATTAGGCGGCTAACAACGAGCTAAATACCTTCCTTATGGTTTCTCAAGAGCTTCACCAATTCAGGTGAAATCGGAGAGGATGCCACTAAAAATGGTCTTCTGTTAATTTTGTCAGTTTTGCATCAAGATCTCACTGGAATACTATGATCTAAAACTGCATACTCAAAACCAAGTAAAAGTGATTATTTTCTCAAAATATAATTTCCTTTCATATATTTCCCATCCCTCAAATGTTTGACCCTCAGTTGATTTTTGTCATAACCCATTCAGGGATCAAAAATCCAAAGCTAAAGCTTTGAATAGAGGTTTAACTACTTCTCTGTAAGCTGACAACCCCTCCAAAAAACAAGGTGTCTTTTTAAAATGGATGTGTGTTCAGCAAGTAAGGTTTGTATTATTACTAAGTGTTTATCTACTTTATGCAGTATGAGGCTTCATCAGCTTCACAAAACATTACCAGAGCTCTTCATTATGCTAAAGTTGGGAGAACTAACAAACATTCAGTTAACCACTTACTGCACCATCTTCTAATCAGTGCCATGGAGAATACAAAGATTTTGCTGTCTTACGCAAAAAGTTACGGTAAGTTATCATAGACTATTAATGCTTCATATATCCAGAATCCTCCCTCTAAAAAAAACAAACATCAAGACATCACGCCCTTTTTCTCACAAAAGATATTAGCCTATCAAACTCACACAGAGGATGTCTAAAGTTTGTGCCAGAATTTAGTCATCATAATATATACTACTGAAGTCTAATGGTTATAATGTTTTGATTTTTACTTAAGTCCAGTTCAGGTCAGCTTTACTATTATACCGGGCTCCCAAAAATCCTGTACACCTAATAAAAATTCCTCCAAGTTATACCAGCCAATGTGGACCTTGAGTTGACCTTGATTCTCACGCAGAGAAAAGGATCTAGACAATAGTACATTCCTGCCTATTCATTGTCACTCCACAGTAGAAATGCATTTGTTCCACTCATTATATTCTAATTTTATGACTGTGATCCACATATTTTAAGCTTTGACATTAATAGAATATATACGAAACCAGGGGCTCGCAGTGTAAAATAAAAATTATAAAAAGACAGTCAAGTGTTCCTCTGCAGGATCTAATGCACTAACTAAATCCATTAACTCTGAGGACCCTACATTGCAAAACCAACAAGTCATGAGCCTTGCTTTGCTTAAAATTCACTTTTTCCCTGCTGGTAGTCCTTTGATTTAATTCTTGTGAAAAGAAACTATCAGAAGCCTCGGTCACTTTTAAAGGATACTTGCTAAAGGAGACTGAACGCATTTTTCAAAATTATGCCACTCAAATCCCCAATGTTTTAAGAAAGCACAAAGATTAATAAAAAACATTACAAACTATTACACTGTCACATGGAAGAGAAACACCCTCCCCTTCCTCCCTTCTCCAGCATGTTAAATAATCTTTTTCACTGAAGGTAAAGATTCAGAAGAGCCAGTTTGGCAGGCAGCATAGCCAAAGTAAGCAGTCACCTGCCCCTGGTGCCTCTGCCCTTCCATTGCCGTCCCTGCAGTGCCCCCTGTCTCCTGTCAGCACAAGCATTTGTGGGGCCACTCAGTGAACCGTAACAGGGAACTTACCTACCTTTAAAAAATAAAAATAAATTTTAAAAAAATCAACTTTTGCTGAAATAGTATCTAAACATCTAACCATGGACTAAAATGCTTTGCTTGAACAACAAAACCAAAACCCCAACCACAGAAACAAACCAAAAAACACCAACAACATTTACTCACTAGATGCCACTGATATCTTCTGGAAGGAAATAATCAGCGGATGCTGAGCCTTGTTGACCCTTCCTTGGCAATTACATGTAGTGTCAGAAAACTACAGATCTAGCCCAAGCCAAAATGGCATAGCTGCCCCTGTAGTCATCATTATAAAAGAGTTGGAGTCTGAGACTTGGAGAAGCTACTCAAAAAAGAAAAGATTTTAGAATTCAGCTGAGCAACTGGGACAAGTACAACAGCCCTGAAAATGGAGCTACATAGACCATGACCTTCAGTTATCAGAGCATTTTACCAACTCACATTGTTCCCATGACAGTGAGCACAACACAGATTAGACAAATACTAACCAATTTTTTTCCACAAAGTTTAATAAAATTTTGTTAAATTTAACATAAAATTTTAGCTGTACTTATAATATGAAATTAACAAAGTTTCAGTCACTTACTGAATCTTTTCACCCTCTTTATTAGAGCTTACACTGCAATAAAACTTGGATTAGTCTTCCTAAATACAAAAAAGTGGTTTTTGAAGTACACTTTATCACCTACTTATTGTAAAATTTAATTTACCAAAGTAGATGTCATCTAGCTCGTTAGAATATTCTAACATCATAAAACTACACTTACTGCTTTGCTGTAGCAAGAATACCAGGTGAGGTTGCTTAGGATCCTTAATGATGAAAGTTGAACTATTTTCACAAAATCATTTATCTATGGATGATCCTGGTTTAAGACCACAGAAGGATAAGATAATGCCTAAGTTCCTTTCCAACTCCATCCGCCCTGCCATCTTCAACAGAACCAAAAACCAGACCATAATTCAAAGAAATATTTCAAAGTGGACAAGGCACTGATCTAGCAGTCAATGGAGCTCTTGATTTTTAGCATAAGTAAAATTCCAACTGTATGTTGTCAGCACCTGGTCAGCCAGAGGTGAAGAAGAAAGTTAACTTTCAGGACGCTTTTTAATAACCTTTAAGTGAGGTGAAGGGCTAAGAACATCATCCCATGAAGATGGGAACACTGGTTCAGCCCAGAAGACTGCAACATCTATTAGGGGCAGCCAGAAGAGCTAGCCCATCAGTGAACTAGCCCCTGCTTCCCAGCAAGTTCCGGGCAACGCGCCCTAAATTAGCATCTTTTTTTCCCCAACAATTGAGGATTTTCAAGAAGTAAACATAATAAACTGAGCTTTTGTCTTTGTTTGTTTCTCCTTTCCTCTGACCACAAGCATAAAGAAATTTACCCTAAGCTGCCAACCCTAAAAATACATATGAAGAAAGAGACTGTTGTTTAAAGAAATCTTTACCATAATATGTTCTCTAGCAGGAGAAAGGCTTTTCCACCAATCTTTCCAGACTTTTACATAAGTATCCCAGTTCTGTTACAGATGCAAACCTTTGCTGAAATAGTGGTCTGTCCTGATTTTAAAACAGAATTTTAGCTAAGGGGCATCAGTCAACAAAATAGGAGAGTAGTATTCTTCAACCATTAACATGGGGCTAACAAATTATTTCTAAAGCATCTTCAAAAGGTAACTAAGAAAAACAGGATAATTGCTGTTAGCATTAGAGGGACTTTGTTTCTCATACTTAAAAGAAAATTGATACTACTCCCTTCCCACCCCAACAGAGCTTAATTTTTCCAAGACACTAATAATCAACTGAATGCAGCTGGATATTATCCTGTGTCTACCTGTTTTTTAATGCTTTCTTAGGGGAAAAGTTACATTTCTGGTTATACATGAAAGTCTGACAAAAATTCCTTTTGGTTAGAGGAAATAACTACCCATGCACCCTAACCCTTTAAGGGTTAGCAAATCATGCTGTCTATGTGATCCTGTGCAGGTGTTCTAAATCAGTCAAAATTACACCCTTCTACCACAATTTGTACAATACTAAAGCACAAGATATGCAATATTTTCTCTGGGTTTAGATTAATATTTTTAAAATTCAGATTTGGAGAGTTGCAATAACAGAAGCCTGACAAAAGTTGAAATCACAAATGAATGTCTCTAAGAGATATAAACTCATTCATCCTGGAAGTCTCAAGATTCATCTTCTATCAACCAGTTATATCTTGTTATACCAGCTGTTGATTACAACAGTCTATTCTGTCTTTACTATATAAAAGACAATTTAAGATCAGAACATCACTGCACTTTTTTTTTTTTTTAATCAGAAATGATTAGCACACTGGTTACTGAACAATACATCTATGTAATTAATTTTCCTTGAGAACTCCCTTTCTTACTCTATCTTAGAACATCTGCTTGCATTTTATAAACAAAGTTATGATCACAATGAAATATAAGTACTCTCCAAGGCCAAATGGTCTATAAATAACATTTCACTATAGCTACAGCGTATTAATGTCACGGTCTACAGCCTTGTTTCTGAAAACATGTGGTATTAGTTTCATAGACTACAATCTAATTTTCTTCTTTAATCCTGTTTGCACACTTCTGCTTTGGACCTAATGCGGTTGGTCTAATAGTTTTCTTACCAGACTATGACGATTCATAACCGTGGTACTGTTCCTGCGGGTTCGCAAAACGTTAGCCTGGAACACCTGTGAATTATCGCTGTGAAAAGAAACACTTGTCAAACGCAAAAGCCATTTCCTTCCTATCAAAAAGTACCTCTTAATAAAAGCTCAGTTTCAAATGCTATGACAGCTATCATTTCAAGACAAAGCACTCGAGAGACAGGTATGTAAGAACTCTTTTAGCTTGTTGGCAGAGAGCGGAAACCGAATTGCTCTTCCCCCAAGTCCCAGCTACTTCAATTAATGACTAATTAATCATATTAAGTCTTCAGAATAACTGGAAAAATTGTTAAGACTGACCATTTCTGTGGGAATTTATTATGTTTGGAATGGCCGCAGCTTGTGTATTGTTTCGAATGTCATTCAACAGAACAAATTTGTAAATGACATATAACCAGTAACTAAAACCAGCTTCAATGCCATAGACAGAATAAAAAAATACAGTATCTTAATAAATCTCATCACTATGAACACTTAATAAGTTCTGAACTTTTTTCCAAGAGAGGTTAAATTAAACATACAGTAAAAACAGCTTTTAAAGCCCTAAGACTTTTGACCACAGTCACATTTCTAGCCAGGAAGCAGCGCATCCATTTAAATAATGCAGGATTAGTTATTCGATATAAAATGAGCTCCCTTCTCAAGGCAACTTTAGTTCTATTGATGCCTAAAGAAAGTTTCACTGGTCATCACTAGTGTTATCAACAGCCATTGATCAGCACTTAATGAATGAGTCTGCAGAAATAAAGTAAGTTTCATGGTCACTAGAATAAAAATTTTGAGCCACAATCCTACAATCCCCATGCCTAAAAATCACTGAGAAACTGCACAGGCAAACAGATCCAAATGTGTAATTAGATCCAAACTACAAGAAGTCACTGGGTTGTATCTTTTTGTCTCAGCTGCTAACCTGGGATGAACAAAAGCCCTACACAAATACAATTTCTTAAAACTAATCTGACCGACAGTATTACCTTGTACTAAAGGCTGATAATCATAATGCACTTTGAAGACACATCACTAACAGAATCCTCCAGTTTAAAATGCACCAGTCAGACACGTAAGTTTTAGATAGCTTTTATCTAGCTGTAAATAAAAAACAAACAAAGCTTATACTGTGAAATAAAAGCCAATAGAAATTGGCATAAGCACTGTGCTTTTCACCAAGAAGAATGCATTGACTCTCTTCCTCTAAAATGTCAAGTACAAATGACCAGACACCATTTACAATTTTCAAAGAAGTTTCACTCAGTTTACACCCACAAGAGATCAAACAGTTGCCATTTGATAGGCGGTGGAACAGGAGAAATTTAAAGGATCCATGAGTTTAGAGGTGAGATTGGCTGAGGCCAACGCTACAACTCCTTTTTAGTTTAAGTGTACTGGTTGGTATGCAAACACAACACAAACAGTACATCCTGAAATCCAAGGTTTGAATGGGGAAAACAGGTTGGAATGATTCTATAACACATTAGCATAGGCTGAGTCCAATATGCAGTGCTAACCAGAAGAGAGGGAGAGAGAAAAAACCTACAATATCCTTACCTTTAATCTCCCTTGCAAAAACACCACAGCTGGTCAGATCTCAGACTTCCCTTTCACAGAAAATTCTTACAGTTCCCATTAAAAATCAATTTTATTTGGCATGAAAACAAGAATCAAAAGTTCTGTGAAAAGTAACTTCTGTGATCTAAAATATTCCACTTCAAAATGTCCTCTGGCTCTACGGTAACTCATTCTCCAAGCTCCTTACTAAATCTGTTAATGAAGAAGTCAAAACAGGAGGCAGAATAGAAAAAGCAAGCTGTTCAAGAGCAAGAGCTTTTGTTTCAGTTTACCCAACAAAGCCATTCTGGGAAAAACTGAAGTTTCTTGCCAAGAGCTGCAATCTTGCAAAAACAGTTTTTTGCTGGCAAATTCCTAACTAACAGGCAAACCACTGCAACCACCTCAAATTAGTTCAACAGCATTTCAGTTTAATTTGTATAAACACCTAATGTATAGTGTATGCACAGTTTCAAGGCAAGAGCTCAGGCTTACCCTTCTACCTGCCCAGGCCCTGAAATTAATAATTTGTTTACAGCACAGTTATGGGATGCTTTTTTTTTCTTTTAAAAGAGTCAAGGGTCTCACAGGTTGGAAGAAACAACTTACAAAAGGCTGAGATTATAAAAACACCTTGTCTCAGTTACATAATTAGTTTACCTGCTCCGAAAACTCCCTGAGGAACAACTGCCATTCACAATACTTCTGTACCGCATGGAAATGTAAACTGTTTCACTACGATTATGTAAAAGAATCACAATTATGTTTACTTAACATTAAATCATGTCTGAATAGGCAAGAATTAGTATTTCCTCTGAACTGTAATATACTGTTAACCATTTTGGTACAAAACATTTTTGAGCTTTGTTCATCACTTGGTATCTAGTTCCTTACAGAAACATGAAGTTTAAGGAAAAAAAAAAACCAGCAAGTACTTATCATGTATTGTACTATCTTTTATAAAGTTTATTGTCAATATGCTCTCCCCAAACTGCAGACATACTACTAGTAGCAGCACATGGACCACGCTGAAGTTAGATGGTAGTCACTGCACATAGCAGATGGGGGCAACCCCCAACTTCACGACAGCCCAGAGGAGGCAAGAAATACCACTCTGAGTTACAGACTTACCCAAAACCAAATACAAGAGACCATGCATATCTGAGAGCTTTCCTCCTAGTCCTTGCTTGGGACTGCCACTATCTCTGCCCTGTCAGCTGAAAAGAGCTAGACCTGGAACACATGGCAAACATCCAACCCCTCTTGCAAATACCACCTGCCACAAGCTGATGGCAATATCCATACTAACTACCGTTCAGCAAAACTCCAGAACAACTGATACTTTGTTTCACACTAAATGTAAAAATTATGTATCTTTCAAGGTCCCACGAAATGATCTTCACGGAATTCGCCAGATTGTTCTGAAAGCATTTACTGTTGTAATCATACACAGTGCAGTGATTTTTTTTTTTTTTTGGTCAAACTTGAACCATTACAGAAATCACCGAGATCGCTACTTTATCTATAATAACGGCCACAACCTTGACGCTGTGTACTGTATGTTTCTCAGCCACACAACACACAGCAGACCTAGATGAAAACAAACAAAGCGTTTTAATAAAGCTACAGCACGTCTACCTAGGCTTTCTTGCACCCCTCCACACTTAGCGGGTATCTTGCCTAAATCTGCCCCCGCTTGCGACACGGGTCAGGAACCCACGTTTCCCCATACGCCCCAAAACATCACCATCGCTCTGCGCTGCGGGCCGGGCGGTGAAGAGCTCACCTCCCAGGCCGGCCTGGAGAAACACGGAGCAACCCCCGGGGCTACACCCAGGGCGGCCACGGACCCCGCTCCCGACATAGCGGCGGCCAAGCCGCCCCGTCCCGGCAGCCCG